GTCAGTAGGCCGAGCAGAACGCTTGCGATGCCAGAAATGGACAGACTCTTGGGCGCGGCCTTCGGCGGCAGCTCAGCCTCCTCCTTCTGATCCTTGCTGTGCTGACTGTAACGCCCACAGCCCAAATGCAGCAGCTGCAGCCGACTGCGACCTCCGGACACTGCAACGAAAGAAGGCAGTGTAGTCTTGAGGACCTACCCCGATTCATCTTATCAGTGAACCACGAGTGGAATCCTAGCTTACGTCCCAGAAATTGTTTTAATAATCTAATGTTTTCGCAACAAAATAGTGCGCCATAAATAAACACAGAAATTTACTTTCATTGCTTACTTATTTATAGTTTATTGCGTGTGATAAATCTGGACATGTCTTACTTAGATATACTTCATAGTTTATTGGGTTTCTTGATATTCCTTAAAACATGGTGGTTAGGAGGTCCAACTTACCCCTCTGGAATTAGATTAGTATAGCTCGCGGCGCAGAGCGCCGCGCACACCTTCAATTTACATGGGAAACAACTTCACGTTAGTTTATTTTATTTAGTTTATTTAACTTATTTCTATTTAAGTTCAACTTTCAGATTAGTTTTCGGTTCATTACTATGTTTACCATTTTATTTTAGTTTTAGATTATTTTTCAGTTATGCGAGTTTACCTTACTTTAGTTAACGTTTTTAGTTAGTTCATTTTAATTTTAGTTAGGTATTTCATTAATTAAGTTATTTTTCAACATTTGCATGATTGCACATTTTGATTATGACGCACTTTTTGTTGACAATTATTAGATTATTAAGATGGTTTGGCAGATTTAGTTAATTTAGTTGACCCAATTGTGAAAAAAACTCGCGGCATTCCTGTTTTTTCTACTTTTATAAACTTTATTTTTATTTATATTTCCCTTCGTTTGTATTTCCCGGACTGTATAGCCTTCATCACAACCTCTCCTGTACTACAGAAGGATGGGGCTTTCGCGTACTGAGCTGGGACCCAAACTAGGATTCTACCGAAACAGGTTTAACAATTTGAGTGCTGCTTCCTACCCTCTGCCTCGCTCCCATTCTTTTCCACCTTGTATTGGTACACATGCAGAGTGAAAAGGGTGTGCGAGAGGGCTGCATCACAAAGGCCCCTGTCGCAGGCCCGATTGGATAGGGCCACATCAAGCAGGTGAGCCGCGAAGTGGGCAGAAGGGGCTCGCAACTCGGTCAAACTGTCCATTGCCTGACTCAGACGCGCAGCAGGGGTCAGGGTCGACGATGCAGCAGTTTTACTCT